AGAGCATTTTTTTTAATCTAGATATTCAACAAAACTATATCGTATTCAGCAAAATGAAATTCACAAGTATTTGGATAGGATATTTTTGACGCATAGTAAATGAATAGGCTGAATATACTGTAAATCGACACTAACTATTCTGTGTATTTAACAGAAAGCACTTAAATTTGTATTGTCTTATGTCAACTATGAATTAAAAAAAATTTAAGATTTAAAATTCAGAATTACTGATTTTTCTGAGAAACTAACAACCAATCACAAAAGTCAAACTAAACAGAAGAACATTACAGTAACTGATCCATGAAATATTTAAACAAATTATTATGGAAATTTTTTAATTATCCTAATTAAATACATAATTTTAAAAATTAGAGCATGCATCACACTACGTAATCAAAATGAAAATGATGGAAGTAGAAATTTAATTCAAAATTCAATAGTCTAGTTCATTTGCTCCTCGCAGCATAGGGTAGCACATAAATAGTTTTGAGCATTTTTCCACCACCAAACAAAGTATGTTGAAAGCAGTATGTTATGTATTAATTAAATTTCACATATGAATATAGGTTTTTGACATTTTCAACATTTTTGACAGTGAGGTTTTTGATGTGACGGTTTAAACCGTCAAAAACTGTCGCATGTCAAAAACCTGCCAACCCTGGTTTGAATGTGTGTAAAAATAAATATTCATAATAATAATCAATTTTAATATATTATCTGTCATTCGATAGTTAATATATTATCCGCCAAAGCTCCTTAACTTATTTTTATTTTCTTTACTTACTAATTTGAATTTAAAAATCTTTCAAATGTCTCTTCTATTTCAATACATAAAATAAAAGACTAGCAAATTTTGTTTATTAAATATAAAGAAATTTGGAACTAATATTTTCATATTCAGAGAGAGAAAGAATTAAATTTTAGGTTCAGTAGTTTAAAATTATAATTATTTTTCCTTAAACAATCTCCGTTTTGCTCTGTTTTCAGTTTCTTATTAAAGTATAGTATTGTTTTGTCCAAATTAGTATAGTAGTTTTTTAATTATGACTAATAATTTATTGTATTTTTGCGTCCATTTTTGATTGTTAGGATGTTGATTAACTGTGTAAAATTTAGGTTTCGCAGGTAATTATTAATATGATAGCAGCTATTTGTCATGCTCTTCGAGCTGGTTGATGGAGAGGTAATTTAAGGGCTTTTTCCTTAGCTTAAAACTTCACCTTTTTTAAATTTAAAAGGCATTTCTCAAAATTCAAAAAAGTTAAAAGAGGAAAAATAAAATATAAAATTTCCAACACAAATAAATTTGTTGAATTTTTTTCTCTAAAACAAAAGCTTTTGAAGAAGAGAATAGATTAAAAAAAGGAATCGAACGCTCTAAACGATGTTTCAGGCGCGAATGCTCATTTCTCTTCACTCTAGGGCTAATACAATAGACCGAAGAAAGAAAGTCTCCTTTTCTCCCATCGAAACCAGTCCTAAAGAGGGACCCCGCACCCCTACTTGAAACAATCATACCTCGTAACCATAGTCACTGCCACACCCCCAGACAAATGTCTATCAGAGTACATATCGTAGACAAACAGTAGCAATACTTTAAATTTAAACTAAGAGTATAGATAAAATAAAAGGCACATTTTTAAACTGAAAGGAGTAACACAAAAAAGCATAAAGAATAACAAGTACATGTTGAACATATAGCTGGTTTATTTCTAATACACAAGCATTACTACTAGTGCAAAAAAATAGAAGAAGTAAAATTATAAAATCACTTGCAATTAACACAAGAAATAGTCAAACAAAAATATATAAATAAAAATTTTATAGTAATATTTTGCAATAGTTTATTATTAAAAGTATGGTACTTAATAGTGACCTTAAGTGCTTTTTTTTTCATTGGCAATATCTGAAATAGTAGTAGCAGTAGCAAATAAGTAAATTGGCAACTGTTTTTTTTTTTTTTTTTTTAATGAAATAAAATAAGTGATGTGATTGGGAGAGCAAAAGTGTTTGATGTTGTCTAGAAAACCACTGATCAAATTTTCTAATCAAGTTTGAAGTAATGCACATCATGTACAGAGCACAAAATAAAAAAATCCGACTACCCAGAATAACTTTTGATCTAATAATCGGATCTACACGTTCTAGGACTCAAAGTTTAAGATTTCAGAGGGTGTCCTCAAATATGCTAATTACTTAGTGCAGATATTTTAAATGACGAAATCAGGCACAAAATCGCACTTTCACTGAATAAACATACCCTTTTTTTAAATGGATTCAAATTTCTGACCCCCAAAATATTGGGGGTAGCCAGAATATGGGAAATATGGTCCCTATAGTTTGGTCAGAAGAGTGGTCTAATGTTAGAACCTTTTAATGCAAATTTTCAAAAATACAAATTTTTCCTAATTCGATTTCTCTGGAACTATTCCACCAATTTTGCATTCTGTCATTTAAATAACAATCTTAAAAATTATGTTCTATACCTTACAAATCAAAATTTTTTTGACTATTGCTGAAAAAATAATAAATATTTATTAA